TTGAATAAATCTTTTTATTTATTGTTGTTTCTGTTGTTTTGCTAGGTTTTGAATAAAAATTTGTAGAGAAAAAGCGTTTAAAACAAGATAGATGTAGGTGTTCCGTTTATTTAGTGGCACCCTGTAAATGCAACAGTTTTTGTTTACGAATACGGGTGGACAAATCGGAGCATCTTAAAAAACAACAATCTTCTAGAGAGGTACCAATCAATTCAATTAATTCGTGTTTCAGTATTCTACAACAGACACATAATTTATGGAACATCTTCAATCAATTTCAAAACAATGGGAAACTATATCAATTGGAACAATAATCGTGACTTTCGAAAATATTGATTTGATTGATAATAAAATGCAATTGTTAACCCGTATTTTAGAACCAAATACAATTCCATATTAACATGCGTTCTTGGTTATTGAAAAAATAAAGATAATGTTTATAAATTTTGTAAAGGACTTGAGTATTTGGTAAAATCTCAGAATTTATCAGGTAATTATCAGTTTTTATTAACATTATTGGAAGTGACTGAAGAAACAAACGGAAGAAATTGCTATATGAATTATCAACAATTCAACGACGAATTTATTAAAAAACAACCCAAAGTAACATTTATTGTTTATTCACATTATTATGACTCAGTTGATCTTGTCAACCTTGTTAAAAAATTAAAACGAACTGATATGGATAATTTATTAGAAGCTGTCAATGTTTGAAATGAATCATTCATTACTGCACAAACAATTATTGATTTTGTTAAATTAGGATGTTTTGTTGATAGTATTAATGTTTACATCGGAAATAAACAACCACCAATAACATTAAATGATATTTTACTACATATCGGTACATTATTAAAACAAAAGGAATATACAGATATAGTTAGTTATTTTCAAACATGTTTATCTGCATTGTCTGGTATTCAACGGTTGTATTTAGATTTAACTGATAAAGAAGAATCAAAGCGTACAAAAATAATTCATATTATTAATAAGTCATCATTGAAAATTATTGACTCAGAACAGCAACATTATCAATATAAAAAGCCACAAAGATATGATGTGTGTTTAGAATCACATAAAGGTGAAAAAATTTAAATGAATTACGCGACAGAGCAAGATTAATTGAATATTCTGGTAATGAAAGAAACATGCAACGACAATATACAAAAGAGAAAGAAATACATTTTTTACGATGATTCGTATCATTTGTTAATATTATTGAAAATATATTGAATAATTTAAATCATTTACTGGTTATGGGTTATCGTACAATTGAACAATATTCACAAAATAAATATACATGTGTTGATTTTTTTGGACAGTTAAATGAATTTCATTCATCATTGGAAGACACAGTTAAAGTATGGGAAAGAAAACTAATTAACCTATATCAACTTTATTCTGATTTAACTTATCTATCAGGAAAACAATTTTGAACTATTAAAGATGCTTTATTAAGTTCTAAACAACTGGAATCAAAAGATTTACGTTGTCAGCTATTAAAATATATTGGAATAGAAAAATTATCATCGATGGAATTTAACATAAATAAAAATTTAAAACCTGAAGGCAGATCAGAAAATCTTGGAAAAATCCTGAATGAACAACATAAATATGTAATAAAACCATCATCAACATTTGAACAATCAATGTCTATCGACAATCGAGGACGAAAGAGATCAATAACTGAGATGTTTTGGAGCGATTGTGCAAATATGAAGTATTTGTCGAACAATTTTTTTCTATCGAAAAAGAGTAAAACAGAATCATCTTTTCGTAACTTGAATAAAAGCTTTTCAAAATAGCGTGTACTCCGTAAACGAGAATAGGGAACATTTTTGTTGTAACATGTTGTTACGAAAATGCTTAGTCTAGAAAAGGAGCAACTTTGGAAAACATTGTCCACATTTTGACTACAAGGAGCGTCTATATTTCTAGGAAATAGTAATTTGAGATCTGAAAGCATTATCACGCAGAGAGTCAAGTGTCATATACTCGTTCTAAGATGGTGAAAATCATGAAAATCCGTCATATTGAAATGCGTTCTTCACCATCTCAAACTCTAAACTCAAAACTAATATATGCATCAGATTTCTCGTAGCCATTTCTATTTGAAGCGCAGACGTTGTAATTTACGTTATATATTCTGCCGCTACGTTTTTTTTCAACTTTAAATTTCGTCTTTCTTTTTCAAACCTTCAACTATTATTCTTTTATAAGTGGTGCGTAGTATTTTGAGTATGGAAATGGTGTACATCACGCTGGATATAATTTAGTGCACCCAAATTTTAAGTTTATGATAGCGGCTTCTAGACATTAGACTGCGCTGTTAAAATTCGCTGGCTTGACGAAAATCTACGAAGAAAAAGTTATTTCTATGATAGGGGTGGCACATTTTCTTTACTGATGCATTACTTTACTGAGTAAAGCAACGCTTTCAAATATCACCGTATGAGTGACGAACAACCGAAAATGTATTGTTTTATCACCTTCCGGACACAATGCGACTAAAGCGTTACTATATTATGC